AGTGATATCAAAACTTTAAAATGTTATTCAGATTTCTCCAAGTAATCACATAATCTTAACGCATGAATGCAAGTAAGGCATAAACTAAGAAACAAATTTGGCAATTTATGTTTTCAACTCCGTAAGCTATATATGTCTTGAAAGGCAGGCATTTTAAAATGTTATTTGGCATTGCAACTTGGTTACATAATTTCTACGCCCCAACTCCTGATGAACTCCGTAAGCTATATATGTCTTCGGTCTCATGTCTATTTTAAGGACTTTTTCGGCAACTTGACAACGCGATATAGATACCCATTCCTAGGATCTGTATATGTCCTGAAAGGTAGGCAGTTTTCAACCTCAGCACCATGACGAGGTAACCGCTCCTCAAATAAATCAGATGGAGGCCAATCTTTCTGAAATTTATATAAACGCAGCACATAGTGACGTTTGAAGCTAACGTTTGTTACACAAATGATCTGTAACGCAGTTCGGGCAATCAACCCTAATCTGCGATGCACTTCTCAATTTGAGAATTTGCCTAAATCCACTAAAAGCTTAATATTTAAAGTACACTGTTTGGAACCGGAGATTACATAATGGAATGATCTTTCCTATCGGACTATTGCGACCTAAACACATGTACTACTTTCCAATGGGATTTGGGTATCTCTTCTCAAGGACTCTCGTACCTCACAGTTAGATCTTGAAAGCTTGATTGTGAGGAGGAAAGTTGTTGCTATTTATAACATGCTTCAGTTACTCCTTCTTGGAAAAGAACTTGATATTCCTAGTCTGTTTGGGATTAGAATCCCTGCTTGTCTTCTTATTGGTCTAGGATTGATATTCAAAAATTTCGACAATGACTCTTTGAATCAACACTCTCCCCCTTTGTCAAATTTTTGCAAAGGTCATGATCTTATGAAAATGTGGTGTCGGATTATTCTCCCCCTAAATTTGATTCTTCTCTCCCTAAACTTGATTCGTGGAGTTCCTGGAAGAGACCTTGAAACTTGTATTTGAATGTGTGAGTGAAGAGAATTCTTCACTGTCTCTGTACATTTTACCAATTTGTGGTAAAGCAGATCCACATAGTCACAAAAGTAGAGGATTTGATCATTGATAAGTTCAAGTGGTTTTGGATCTTATATGGGCCCTAAGACATACCCAATCTCTTAAAGAGGCATTAAAATACAACCCTTATATATATGTATATATATATATATATATATATATATATATATATATATATATATATATATATATATATATAACCATTGGGAACATCATTTATATATATTTCAGAAGTACTTATCAACGTCGAAGATGCTGATTTCCCCATCTTCTTTTCTTGATTTTCCGGTGATCCTTCTTTCAAGATGTTTCGCCGCGGCTGCGGCTGGGTTCATGTGCTGTGGAAATATGAACGAAACTGTAGGATCTTCAACCGGGCCGGGAGCAGTAGTCATGAACGCAGAAACGCTGTAATTATTGTTGTTTTCCGGTGTCCTAAGATAAGAAGAAGAAAATGACTCGCCGGCGCCATGACCGGAAGCAGTACTAACTTTGTGATCTTTACTACGATCCATGGCTGTGGCTTTCGGGATCTTAACGTTCGATGATGGCGGCTTCACTCCTTGGACGACGTTAGCCGACGCTCTAGCTCTAACCGGAAACGGAGGAGCGTCCGGCCGCGGGAGATCTTCCGACGATCCTCCGGCAATCCTCTGCACCAGGCTCTCTTCTGGGATATTGAGGTAGCAAGAAAATGAAGCCACCCGAAGACCCATGTCAGTGGCTTCCATGGAGATTATTATAATAACTGGAAATTAAAATGTATACTCTCAAAATCAGTGTTGTTGACGATGAAAAGGCTAGCTAAGCAAGCAAGTTTTTCGTTGCTCTACCCAGACAATCACAGGATTTGATTGGAAATCAGTCTCGTACTTGTATTCATTTATACAAACCCCTCTCGCATTTGGATGCGCCCCAACTGTTCGACAGAATTTCGGAGCCATTGTAAGTGCAGTCCAAACATCATATTTTGTTCACATATGTCATAACTCAACTTTAAACCACAATCTTGTATATCTGTTACAGTTTAGGGCTTCATCAATGTTTTTGGGATCAAACTTGGAGGTGTAGTAGTAGTATCCTTCTTCTATTTTGTGGTAATCTTGTTTCTTTCCTTTAGTATTTATTCCTTGATTGAGATCTCCTATGATATTTTCCAGATGAAGATTTTTCTGAATTTTTAAGTCAATAGATTGACTTTTATCTTCATCTGGTTCTGTTTCTATTTTGTGATGCTGTATAACAGTAGTCAGAGGTGTTGGAGCAGTTAATTCAACAACTCTTGGACTTTCGTCATCATTAGTGGTTATTGTTGAGATTGTGTCATCAATAACCACATTCATGGATTCCATTGTACTGTCTACACCGAAAGCCCTACTTTTTGATGAATAACCTTGAAATATTCATTGGTCCCCTTTGATGTCATAAGAATTTATGTGTCTCATATGTTGGTGCCGTAATTGTGTTTGCTTGATAGTTGTCTGTAAACATGATAGGTCACCATCCCATGTGTAACATTTGTTTGCGGAACTTTTTCCAATCATGACACGCTCGTGATTCTGATTAAACACATGACAATTGTCTCTAGAGAACACTACTTTGTGTTCATCTTCACAAAGCTGACTTATACTGATTAGATTTGCTTTTAAACTTTGTACTAGGAGGACTTTTGACAACCTAGGCAGCCCATGGACATTCAAGATGCCGCTTGCAATGATCTGGCATTTTCCTCCATCTCCAAAGGTAACATGTCCTTCATTCTTATACTGAATGTTTTCCAGGTTTTCTGGATTTCCAGTCATATGCCTTGAACACCCGCTGTCAAAATACCATACGTTTTGTTCCTTGCTAGGTTTTGAGGTGTAGGCAACATTCTCATCTTTTCTTACCCAGATTTTCTTGCTGTTATTTTTGCTTTGTACTGCCCAATCTCTGTTGTGTTATCTGTAATAGAGATCATTTTGTCTTTTGAAGCAGTACGCCTTTATATGTCCCAATCTGTGACAATAATAGCATCTGATCCTTCATCGATGTTGAAAGTGATGTTGCGACACTTCAGAATTTTCAGTTTGCTGGTTTTCACTGGAGGCTGAGATTGGAGTCCTAGGCCTTTCAGTTAGAGCCTTGATTTCTTGTAGCAGTTTTGCCTCTCTGTTTTTGGAGTCTAATAATTCATTTTGAGCTTCTTTGAACCGTTTTTCTCCTCTATCTTTTTCATCTTTTAGAAACTGATTTCTTCCATGAGTTCTAGATTTACTTTGATGATTTGCTCCCATTTGGCATGTAGTTGAGTATATGCCTGTAGTAATTCTTGTATATATTCTCCGTTGTTATTTTCATGATTTGCAGTGAATGCTACGAAATTGGTGTTGGTGTCTTATTCACTGTCTGAGTCATCACTTAATGTTGTCATGTATGTCTTGTTCTTTCTTTTAAGGTATGTAGCACATTCTGACTGGATGTGTCCAAACCCTTTGCACTCATAGCAGTGTATTCCATCTGTATTTGAACTATCTCTTCCTTTTGACATAGATTGATTTTGTCCAGTTGGGAATTCCCCTTGATTGATTGAAGCACTTTTGTTTCTAAATTTGTTGAATTTTTTGAGAACTCTGTTGAAATTCTTTGTTAGGAGAGCAATTGATTGTTCCATGGTTTCAGTATCAATTTCTGGACTTTCTTTCTGCTTTGATTGGAATGCAATTCCTTTGTCATTATTTTTCCCTTTTTGCAGTATCTCAAACTCATATGTTTGAAGATTTCCCATTAGATCACTGAGTTTGTAGGTGTTTAGATCTTTGTTTTCTTGGATGGCTGTAACCTTTATCATAAATCTCTCAGGTAGGGAACGTAAGACCTTTTTGACGAGCCTAGGTTCAGGAATAGGTTCGCCTAGGTTAAACGCATCTCCAGAGATGCTTAAAACTCTGGCACTAAATTGTGTGATATTTTCTTCTTCTTCCATTTTCAAGTTTTCAAACTCTGTCTGTATCATCTGTAATTTGGATTGTCTTACAGACCTGTTCCCTTCATGATGATCACATAATATACTCCACGCAGTTTTGGCTATGCGAGTGGTGGCAATCAGTTTGAAGGTATCTTCGCTCACAACTCCATAGATTGCATTCATTGCCTTCGAGTTGAAGTTATATTCTGTTTTTTCTTCTTCACTCCAGTCAATTTTAGGTTTTCTATTTCTTTTATCATCAACTGGAGTTTTCCATTCGTTTTCTATAGCATTCCAGACACCTTCTCCTTGTGCCAAGATGTATATCTGCATTCTGGCTTTCCAGTAGGAAAAATTCGTGTCAATCAGTGCTGGTGGCCTGTTGTTTGATAGTCCTTCTCTTGGGAATTCCATTAGGATCCTGCTAGTAACTTAAGCAGTTTGGCTCTGATACCAATTGAAATTTATATAAACGCAGCACACAGTGACGTTTGAAGCATACGTTTGTAACACAAATGATCTGTAACGCAGTTCGGGCAATCAACCCTAATCTGCGAGGCACTTCTCAATTTGAGAATTTGACTAAATCCACTAAAAGCTTAATATTTAAAGTACACTGTTTGAAACCGGAGATTACACAATAGAATGATCTTTCCTATCGGATTATTGCGACCTAAACACATGTACTAATTTTCAAGGGGATTTGGGTATCTCTTCTCAATGACTCTCGTACCTCACAATTAGATCTTGAAAGCTTGATTGTGAGGAGGAAAGTTGTTTCTATTTATAACATGCTTCATTTACTTCTCCTGGGAAAAGAACTTGATATTCCTAGTCTGTTTGGGATTAGAATCCCTGCTTGTCTTCTTATTGGTATAGGATTGATATTCAAAAATTTCGACAATAACTCTTTGAGTCAACACTTTCAACTTCAGAATTATAGGCCACCCATTACTATCAAATTGAAGCTTCATATATTCATTAAAAAACCAGCAGAGATTGACATCAACCTGGATTGCTTCAAGAAATAACATAACATTCAACATATAACTTACAAAATGAAATAAAAAACTTAATTTTATAGTACTGCAAATACATTTGTAACTAAGTTACCTTGAGCTATGAATGTTTTAGCAAACTGCAGATAAAGATGGCAATCTAGTTAACATCTTATCACCTTGGGGTCCAAATTAGCATAGAACAAGAAAAGTACTACTTGAACCATCAGCAAAATCTAACAGAAGCCCACAAAGATGCATTTAGAAGTTTAAAGATAAATTTCACTCAGCTTGAAGCATCATGTATGATGTATAACATGTTTTACATGAAGAGAAGTTTAAAGATAAATTTCCAACAGATACAACAAAAATCAAAGAAATCTTCATACCTCCATCTTCCAACAATATGCTGACAACCTCTCCACACACATCAACCTGCAAAAGTTTCAACCCAAAACACATAAAGAAAAATGATCAGTTTTAAGCCATTGTTGTAGTCCAATTCAACTCGATCATTAAGAAATTACATTGAAATCAAGGCCCAAACATCAACAGGCATCTCCCAACCAAGCTGATCAATGTAGCATAGAACTTGGCCCTTATCCACTACTTGATTCTGTTGAGCATGCCAAATAAAAATTTAGTTAGCAGTAGGATGAGAGGCCTACATACAACCAGTCATAGTCCACAAATGCAAACAAATCTGTGCATAAGTGCAACTCGATCATTGATTGCCAGATTTTAGCAATATGTAAAGAACATTTATAGAGCCCAGTTGCATTAATTGAAACTCGCCACTCAATATAAAAGGATGTTATGATCATACCTCTTTACAACGGGGTGGACCACTCTTTCCTTTAACAGAACACATAGCTTGTAGGAGAAAGTGGCAAACCAGAAGAAAGCAAAGCAATCGGGTCCAATATTGTAAAGATAATCTTCTAAAATATATACAATACCGGTGGACTCACTTCTAGTTCTACTGGTACAACTTCAGTTTCCACTTCTGCTGCTCAAACATCATCTACTCCAACTCCCGAGTGCTCGCGCTGCTGGGGCTACGATAGATGCCCTTTCTCATGAATCGATAAATATTCTGCAACACTCGAGTCTAACTATCCCTTACGCTCCCCAAGCTGAGTGCCAGATTTGGGGTATCTATTAGGTATGTTTAAAGAATATTTGGCAAAATATATAGCGTCAATAATCAACCCACGTGAGCTCTAGAAGAGTCATGAGATTAGTATACAGAATGCTAACTCTAGTGACAATCTTGAAGGTTGTAACATATCATTTTTTCATTCTTTTTGAAACAATGTTTTTATCATATTTATTCACGTAGACTTTGAAGATTGTTATCTTCAGGGGAAGACGGGGGAGTACATTTTATTCACTAGATTTTTCTCGTTGAGTTTTTCTAGCGTGGTTTTTAACAAGCCATGAGTATGATATAGTAATAACAATGGGAAAAGTTCCAAATAAATACTTAAATAGACAAACCCAAAATCCTAAAGATAATGCCCTGAACGCTTATAGTTGTACTCTTTTCCCCTTAACTAAGTATTTTTCACATAGGGTTTTTTTAAGTTAAGATTTTTAATGAGGCAACCAAAATAACACATGAATTACCCATATAATCGTTTACTCTTTTCTCAACTAGGTTTTTTCCACAGGGTTTTTCTAGCGAGTTTTTAATGAGGCATGATTATGGTAAGATAATGTCCAAGGGGGTGTGTTATAAATAATATTATGTGTGGACAATATGATTTGTGACGGTTATAATGGTTGTAACGGTCAATATTATTATTGTCATTATTATTAGTCTATTATACATATGTTGTACCCTTTTGTATTGAAGATGATGATGGAGTGATGGTTACAACTTTGTCTCTCCATTGTACATTTATTCTCTTCTTCTTCCTTTCATTTGTTTGTTTCCATTACAAATACGATTCCTTTATCCAGAGATGGCTACGAATGAATGGCAATAATCACAACATTTTTGTGAATATTCAAAAAAAATTAAAATCAAATTATTATTCCTTTTTGTTTTGCAAACTGCATACAGTATCACCATTAATATGAGACTAATAATTTCAACCCTTTCTAACCTTTTTTATTTGAATAATGAAATATCAAAGAAGTTATTCTTTTCACTCAAAAATAATGAAGTTTTTTTTTTTTTCAGCATATTCTATCACAGTATAAAAAGGATAATGCAATATTATGAAATAGTATAATATGCATTTGGTATATTTGGATGCAGTAAAGCAGGGTGTGCACGAGTCACTAAAGGCATATTTTGTATGAATCGCACAAATATAAAAGATTATCAAAATTTTAATTTTTTTAGTAATAATTTGTCTCACTAAAATGATTTTAATTACCAAAATATAATAGATTGGCAAAATTCAATATTATAATTTTCACCAAATTTTAAATTTTCATATTCATTAGTCAAATGTGAAATTCATCAGTTTAATTTCAATTTAGTAAAAAAGTTGTGTAAATTACAAATATCTAACATTATTTATTATTGTACCATGTATAGTAAAACAACAATCTAAGATAATCATTTTCCTATTTAGGATATTCACGTTGATTTCTTTGGATAGATTTACACATCCGTTACAATATTTTATAAGAAATTACCATAAATTGCCTCAAGACAATGCATATAAATACCTAAGAATCAGACTTCAAAACAAACAACACATAAGTCATATACAAATACAAAGAGAAAGATGGTGTTGAGCAAAACGGTGTCTGTGCTTGTCTTCTTTATGGTTATTCTATTAGGTTTGTTTTATCTCTTCTTCCCTTTAGGCATTAATAATAACAAAGTATTAAAACGATAAATCCAATTTGTATTTCAAAAAAGTAAAAATAAATAAAATTGAGATTATGGTTTCCTAACTCAATATGAAATTATTTTGCAGGTTCACCAGTAGTGAATGTTATGGGACAGTCTATTTCAAATGGTGGCGGTGGGTTTGCCTCCCCAAATGGTTGCGTGACGGATAGAGATTGTGACAAAAGTTGTCATTGTCACGGTGGCATCGGAAATAAGTGCGATGGAGGGATTTGTGTTTGTGGTTGTACAATTGGCCGTAACAATGGCAATTAATTGAGATTAATTTCTTAATGATTAATAAGAATTTTTAAATCTGCTTCAATATTCAATATTCTTTTATTTTGTTTTGATACATATATGCAGGCATGTAGAATAATTTCTTATTTGAATTCATATTATTTTCATATATTGAGTAATCAAATCGTATTTAATTAACGCAATAAAATGAATTAAAGTTTCAAATAATGTTAAATCTACAACGTAACTTCATGGTAGAAGAAGAAGAAGAGATAGAAAGCACAATCAAAGGAATTTGACTTCATGGTAGGGATGTAAATGAGCCGAGCAGCTCGCGAGCTGCTTGCAAGCAGCTCGGTCAAAGCTCGGCTCTAGCTTGGTCAATATCGAGCTCGAGTCGAGCTCGAGCGGCTCGTTTTGTAGTCGAGCTCGACCCGAGCCTAGATATTCTAGGCACGTGGCTCATCGAGCCACTCGCGAGCCATATAATATATAATATATATAATAATGATATAATATAATATAATAATAATATATAAAAATAACAATTAGAAATTAGAATTTTATACTCAAAATCACTAAAAGATTTCTATTATTTATGTATGGATAAAATAAAGTAGTTTGAATTTTAAACCAAAAGTATTAAATATGTCAAATTCAATGTCAAAATCGAGCTCGAACTCGAGCTCGAGTTTGAACTCGAACAATCGAGCTGCTCGAGCCGAGCTCGAGCAGCCCGAAAATTACCGAACTCGAGCTCGAGAAAGTTCTCGAACTCGAGCTCAAACTCGAGCCGGGCCTCCATTAACGAGCACAAGCTCAAGCCTACCCAGGCTCAAGCTCGGCTTGGCTCGTTTACACCCCTACTTCATGGCCTCATGTTGAGAACTATATACACAATAACACAAACTATATTGTTTTCTCTTTACCCTCCACTCATAATACTTGCCTATTATCCTCCTATCGATTATACAAACATGTATGAAAGAACTATTATAGTGTATCGCTTTAGAGTGAATCAATAATATTTTGTGAAAACTAAACTTATTTATGAATCGGGTACATAATTAAAGAAATGGAGAAGAAAGAGAAGAGAGGAAGAAAAGACAAATTTGCCCCCATTTTTTAGCCATTAAAAATTTCTAGCGAGTTCAAGCCGACAATTTGATCTGAGGAATTAAAATTGGGAAAAATTGATTAATTGTGGAGTTAAATTGGCCATTTTTAAACTCGTAGGCTCCAATTAAAAATATCATTATAGTCTTTGGATAAAAAATGAATTTTATCAAAATTTAATTTTAGTATATTGCAATTAGTATATTATATGTTCATATTTTGTCAGTTCATTATGTTTTTATAAAGGTCCGATTTTAGTATATTGCAAGTCAAAATGAACAGGTAATATACTAAAAATGAGCCTTCAATATACTAAATATGAATCGGTATTACAAGTCCAGCTTGCTACATGAACGTTCAGTTGTTATACAATGGACCATGGTCCAATATGATTGTCAAATGATAGAGTTAAAATGATACTTCAGTGTTGCTACAATGAAGTTAATGTATGTGGAAAATTTATATCTATCTATATATCTATATACATAAAAGTAAAATCTCCTCCTATAGTGTTTTCTTGCCCAAACTTATTTTACTGGTCAAAGTAATGGTAATTTTTATTTGGTAAGAAAGTGAAGCATGGAAATTGCTAATATTGCATTGTAATATTTGGTAATATTGTGGTGTCCTTAATTATGATTAGAATAAAAAACTTAAGAATATTAACAAATAAATCGGTAATATTAACGTAGCAGATCATGGTATAATTAATTATGGTTAATTTGATTGGTAATATTAACATAGAATAAAAGTATATTCTAAACCCAAAGAATAAATAACACTATATTATGGTAAAGACGAATAAACAACGTAATAACATAGGACAAAACGTAATAATTAATTATGGTAATAACATAACAATTTTCTGTTTAAACCCATCATTGTGCTAAACCCAAAGCTGTAAGCTTCAAACGTATTTCTGCCTTGTACTCTCCCTACACTGATTCTCAATAGTGGCTGAACTTCACAGCGAGGTTGTTGGTAGTCAACTTCATCCTAGACTGCAGTGGAATAACATCAGGTTTAGAGTGCTCCATGTCGTTCATCTTCCACAGACAAGAGGTTCTAAAACCATAAACTCTATAAAGTGTGTAGTACATGATGTAGAGGTTTTTTTTTTTTTTTTTTTAAATATATTCTTAATCTTAATATTTTGTATTTCTAAAATTTTAGTTGATGCATATGGTTTTTTTACAATTTCAGGGAACTTTTATACATATGCATATTCTTCGAATGTATGTTGAAAAGTGGCTCAACAAATTTAAAAAAGGAAAAGTTTATCGAATTCATAGATTTGTGGTGGTTTATAATGAGTATAGAAACAAAACTACTAACAACAGGTATATGCTAAAGTTTTGTGACATAACTACTGTGAGAATATTGAAAGATGCAGATT